CTCTGCCCCCATGGGAAGCCCACCCGCAGCCCCTCGCTGCTGGAGGCAGCCCGACTTCCCACCGCCTGCACCACGCAGACAGCAAAACCACGAGCGGTCGCTGCACAGGAGACAGACCAAGGGAGACGGGGCAGGAGCTCTCTGGAAGAAGGACACGCCTGTTCTGCACCACAGACGACTCGGCTGTTGGCAGCAGCAATGCTCTGCAGGCTCACGAGCATTCAGGTGCCGTGGGAGGCGGCTGGTGGCACACAGACAATTTGGCAATCCTTAGAGCTTCCAGCAACTGAACATCGACTGCGACTATCCCAGGGAAGGTGGCAGTTCTTTCTATTTTGTTTGGTCTTGTTTCAGTGTTACGCTTTCTGCCAGGGAGCAATCCAAATTCCTCCGCAGGGCTCGGGAGAAGGTGCTTACAAATAAAGGTGTTATGGTTGAGGTGCTCCTTGGCTTTGCTGCTGTTAGATAAGAAACAGGCGGCAAGCCAGGCGGCTCATGCCTCCTCCCTGCCTTGGGGGAAGGTTCCTGGCCAAGGCCACGTCAACAGAGATGAAGGAGCCATGGCTGGGGATGATTCTGCCCCTACAGCCTCCTGCCAGGCCCCAGCTTCTCCACCATCAAGTTAAAATCAGCCCAAATGCTTGCTCATACCTTGTCTACTTCTGGGGCTGAGTGCTCAAGCACCATCACCCGTGCAAAGACAAACCCTCGGGGGGTGTTGGCGGGCCCATGCTCACCCCCATCACGCCATCAGCTAGCACAAATGGACACGTAAAGAGCATTTGGAGACCTCCAGCCCAGGGAAAACAGCTCAGGGCAAGAGCCAGGAGTGCCATCGAAAGCTGCTGAGGCTGGGGATGGAGACGGTGCCGAGATGGGCTCAAGTACCAATGAGCAGAGGGGTGTGACAGCCCACGGGGGCTGGGGGGGGGTGACAGGGGGACAACAGGGGAGGTGGGAGCACGGACCGACCAGTATGTCTACTGGAAGTATCTCATCTGCCACCCAGCAGCGTGCTGTTTGGTGATCGCTGGGATTCCTGCGCCACCAGAAATGGAGGTGAGGAGTGGGGTGACGGCTCAGAGTCGTTTAAAAGTTGGTTATTACCAGCAGCACAAGGCAGATGTTGCTGGGGAGGACAGGGACAAGTTCCCAGGCTCTTATACAGGCACATGAGCCAGGACTTACAAAGAGGGCAGAGCAGAAAAGCCTGTTAGGAGGTGAGCAAGGTAGAGAGAAAAATGGACGGTGCGTAGAAGCCAAGGTGGGAAAGCGAAAAGGATGCTAACGGGCGTGGTTGGCAGGAAATACGGTCTGACCTCCTTGGGAGGAATGCAAAGCTAAAAATACATCGTCGAGAGGAGTAATACCTGAAGGAGGCTGTTTGGGCTGTTGAGGAACAGCTACAAGATGATGGGAAGATGAGCCAGCGGCTGCTGAGCACTGCAGGAGATAAGGGTGCGTGCTCATGCACCCACCCACCTCTCGGCACACCCTCTGGCCCCCGGGGCCCTACGACCTGTGTTGGTACAGAAGAAGACGCAGCAAAGAAGACAAACGACTTGTGGGATGAATCCCTGCCAGACAGTACAGCCGGTGTTTGCTTTGGCGTAACACCAGTCGTAAGGCCGTGAGGCTGCGAGCACCCAGGGCTTCCTCCTGCGGGTACCAGGTGAGCGCCAGAAGCGTTTGTGGTATGACCCTCTCCCACATGGTGGCTGGGAGGGAAAATAACTAGGCTGAGGTTTGCTAGGAGGAACAGGAACAAACCCACTGCTAGGGCTAGAGGGGAGGTGAAGGCTCTGCAAGTAGACATGGGGGCGAACGGGTGGGGGGAGCAGAGAAGCAGAGGTGCACAGCGATGAGGAGGACAAGTAGGGTCGACCTCGGATCCCACTCCAGGAGATTCCCAGAGGAAAGGAAAAGAGTAAGGAGGTTGGGGGAGCAGAAGAGAGACAAACCACAAGACTATGGAAACAAGGGTGGCCCTCCCCATCTCTTCAGTAGTGCCACGCTTCTGTGCAAATGCTGTTGGAGAAGTGTGGGGCAGGCCCACAGCCAACGCGGCGGGCTGGGCACCATCAGGGCATGCAGCAGCCGGGCCACAGCGGTTCCAACCCAGTGAAAGGGAAGGAGACAAGCCAGCAGCTACAGAGGGTGTTAAAAGGAAGAGCAGCTGGCCAGGATGACAAAAAGCCAAAAATCAATAACCAAGTAGGAAGAGGCGAAGAGCTGGATCCAGGAGTGCCAGTGTCTCTGGAGTACCAAAACCAGCCAAGGACAAACCCATCCTGGAAGGAGGGGTGACAGAGCTGGGGGGGAGTGAAGACAGCGTACACAACAGCGGCAACCGGCACACGCGAGCCAAAAGGGCTCAACTGGGGACAAAAAGGGGGAAAAGATGGCAGCCTGAAGTGAACCTGAACTCTGAGATCCACGCCAAGGGGACTTGTCTGCCCAAGCGGCTGAGGCGGGCAGCTGGTCCCAAGGCTTCTGACCGCAGGACCCTCCGCCCCACGCAGTGTTTGCTCTGCCGGTGCATCGGACGTGCGGTGGGCAGGGCAGAGGGACGCGCAGCAGCAGGCGGGTGCGAGCTGCCCTTTGCAGGGTGGGCTTAGTGAAGCCTACGGAGAAGTCTGCCAAAGGGGACGGGAGCCTCCGTGCTGACCGAGAGCTCCGGACACACGTCCAGTGGAGACCGAGAAACCACCGTGCTGAGGGCCACAAGCGGCCATCCTCAACAGCACACCTGAACAAATACATCTGCTGAGAGAGACCCAAAACAGGAGACAACTTGGCTTAATTATTTTTTTTTTTAAACTAATATTTTCTACTATACATTAGTGCTTCAGTCCACCACAGTCACTGCAGAGCTATTGCACGGACGCACACACAAACTCTATATACAGAATATACACTGTACAGGCAGGGCTGCCGCTAAGGAGTATTATACAGAATTCGTTACTACGGGGAGGTATGTCCGTGTCTCCTCACTTGGCCGCTTCCAGGCTGGAGGCGGTGGGAAACTGAGCAGCCTCACGCTGTTCCTGCACTGTCCATACCTGGCTCTGGAGGGGAAAACGCAGGAAGGGTTCAGCCGCCTCTGAGACTCACTGACATCTCCCCAGCCCCGAGGCAGTGCAGCCACGGGCAGGACTGCTAGTGAAACAGCACAACTTCCACCCCATGAGCACTGGGCACTGCCGACAGCTTTGTGCAGGTCTCAGCTGAAATGCTGAACCCTCCTGCCACATGCAAAGGTGGCTCCTTACAGGGCTTCTTACAGAACAGGCGTGCATCAGGCTGCCAGACCCATCCTAAAACCCCTTCTTAAGGCAAACATTCAGGCCCTGGCCAGACTGGCAGATGGTGAAATGCAGTTTCAGTAGCAGCGATCATCCCTGGGGTTACAGTAAATCCATTTCCAAGGCAGCGGGCAGAAAGACTGCTCTGTCAGGCAGAGGGCAACTGCCTCCAAAGCCGGCAGCAGAGCCTCAGTCCAGCCCAGAAGCACACGTACGTCTCTCTCTTTCCCCAGAGGCGAACAGGAGCAGAATGACCGAGCTGGAAGCTGGGTTGTGGTAAGAACAAGTTGCGGTGAGAGCTGGAGAGGTTGCTCCGCACCGACCTCAGCACAGGGCGAGCACGCACCTCTCAGAGCGGGGCCCACGCACCCACGCAAGGGCCGCTCTGTGAGCTCCCACTTGGCAAGGCTGACACAGGCCGTAATAATCACGTTCTCCGACACGTTTTATCAGCAAGTGGGCTGACCACATTAGATATCTCACTGCCCAAGGCAGAGCTCCAGCTGTCTTGTACGTTATTAAAGCACACAAACCTGATTTTTCAAGCAGAATAAATTACATCTGGAGGCCAGCTCCTCTCTGTGGAGCTCCAGTAGCTATTCCCATTCACACAGCACCCAGCCGAGATCTCTGGAGAGCTCTGTTCCTTGCAGATGCACCAGCCCTTTCTTCTCTCTCCCTGCCTTGGGGAAAAAACAACAGCATTCCACGTCCAGCAATTCATCCTCCCACTCCCATCACAGCTGAAGCTCTTGCCGGCATGAGTCAGGCTGCTGAATGGGCAGTGACAATTTTTTCACATCATTTGTATGTGGGGGACTAGCATCTCTCTCTTTTATCATCAGGAGCTGTCCTGAAAACAACTCCCCCCTACAGGTCTGGTCCTGCTTCTTCCAGGCAGGATGACGGCATTGAAATTTTGAGAGCCCAAGCACTAGACAAAGATGGATGTGTATATATGGGCGACACGTGTTTTGCACAGCCTATCACATGCTGCTGGAAGCCTGGCTGTCACTTTCTGACCTACTAACAGCCACACAGGGAACAGTTTCTCACTTACAGTCCCCTAATCCAGCTCCTCAAAGCAGGACTAGACCGAGAATAGTGCACATGGTTCCCCATTTCTGCTACAGTTCTGACCCACGTGCTCACGTGCTCGAAATCATATGCAGTTGTGAGCACGGTCCAGATCAGGTCACGTTGGCTGGATCAGGGAAGAACTTTCCTTTCCAAACGCAACTGCAGCTGCCCACATCTCGGAGCAGGGTGGGAGGGCCCTTCCTTCTCCGACAGAGTCCCTTCACCGTGCTCAGTGGTGGTGCAGCACAGCCTGGAGATCCTCCGGCAAGGAGCCAATGATGGTCTCAATATACAGGCCCACCCGCTGCAGAGTTTCCTCCTTCACAGGGAGGTGCTGGCACCTGGCTCTTACCTACGGGGAGAGAGAGGAGAGAAACAGAGGAATTTTGTAATAGCTTCAAAATTCCTCTTTCCGCTTCGCCATTGACTGAGCAAACTTCACATTGTCTCTTTAGTTCGGGGTACGAGACAACAGACAGGAAACTGTCACCTGAGCCTCAGGGAGATGAAAAGAGTCAGAACTTTGAATCCTTTTCTACACAAACACTGAAGTTTGGTGACTGTCCCATTTGCCAGTTCTCCAATTAGGGAGCGAGAACAAAGTTTTCTAAGCAACAAGTGTGAGCCATGTCCCTGGTCTCTCCCGGCCACAGAAATACAGACAGAAAGGAATGAGAGCAGGAAGAAGGGAGGAAAACTCACCAGCTTCTCACGAAGTTTTAGCACCAGGTCTACAATCTCCACCTCAGACTTGTCCTTCATCCAGGCCACAATGTTCTAAAGAGAGAGAACAGCTTTCTTCAAGGACATTTCTTCTTTACAGAGCTTTTCTCAAAGAGATACTCCTAAGCAAAGCCTGAAATAAAAGCCAGGATGAGGTTTCTCATCCTCTTTCACAACTCTGCTCACAGCACTTAAGCCTAAATGAGCAAGTCAGAGCTCTCCCCGCTTTTCTGACCATGACAGCATCAAGCTCTTGCCTGTAAGAGGAGAATCAAGGAAGCAGGCAGTGCAGGGCTCCCCTCCTCCAGTCAGCACCGTGAATCTTGTGCTGTGCTTAGAATTTAAACCTATTTGCCAGAGTCAGGCCTGTTAAAAAGGAGGCAGCTTTGGCATTCCCCACACCATGCTCGAGGACCTGCACTGCTGAACAGTGAAGCAAGCGCTGCAGCTGAAGGTGCACCTGGACAGGATGCCAGAGCTCCTGGGACTACCCCAGCAGCTGCTCAGTTTAAGAAATTGTACCAGCAGTCACTACTAAAAATCCTACCTATTTTCATTAGGCATTAAGGAAGCCAGCAACAGATGACGCTTCCAGTCTGGAACTCTGTTGGCTTGGGAAGGGCCTGATGAATGAAAAATAGTTGATAGAAGCAGCCAGAGCAGGACCTGCACTGGCTAACAAAGTAGGGGAGCTGAGCTGCTTGTGTTCTTGTCCCCCAGATGTGCTGCTATTCCTGTGCACGGACGGACATGAGGCAGAGCTGTGATTCCCAAGGGCACAAAGCACTGTCCCCCATCCATCAGTGCAGAATCGAGGTGTGTCAACAAGTGTCCAAGGTAGCAGTGCCCTCATCTCCCAGGTTTCAGGCCTGAGAAGCCTGGTGTTCGTTTTAACACCTGCAGCTGGAACATACCGCTTCACAGATTGCCTCCAAATGAAGGGCCTCCAGCTTCTGGGTCATTTCCTTGTGCCTCTGACGGTACCAGCCATCAAAGTTGGGAGACTTGAAGAAACGCCTGCAGAAAGAGAGGTGACGTTGAGAAGGGGATGGAGGGGGATCCAGAGAAGCACGCTGGCTCCACTGCACACAGATTTCCCTTCCCACTGCAGCAGACACAGATGTGAGAGGAAAAGACATTCTGATTCACAGCGTCATTAGGGATGGTAACCGATAATGAGCTAATATGCTCTTTTCATATCTTCTCTACTCCAGAGGCTTCTCTTCTGTCAGGCATTAACATGATACAGCTGAGCAGCTTTAGCAGACTGTCACCGACGAGCAATCCTGCCAGTCTCACACCTTCCTTTGCACCAGCTCAAGCCTCAGCTAATGCAAGAAGCGGTGCTCTTTGCCCTTCTGTAGCCTTATTTTGGCCCACTTTTCCTTTGGAGTTACGGTAAATGGGATGGTTCAATGTGGGAAGAAATTCACATTCCTCTGCAGTACCTTGCTTAATTCCTCTCCTTTCCTGATATTTAAAGCTTTCAACCATTTGCTAGCATGGATCTAAGTCCCATATAATTGGTGATTTACGTCTCCTACATAAACAAGGTATCATCTAGGCTATGTCAAAGGATGTGTAATTTACACCTCTCGAGTGCAGTACCGTAATAAACCTCTGTTTTTACTGAGCTACTCAGGAAAATGAACAGGGGGCAGCACAATACCTGTTTTTGTCTCAGTGTGTTATAGAACTTTAGATCAAATTCAGAATGGGATTGAAAAGCCACTAACGGAAAGACAAGGGTTGTGACAGCAGAGAAAAGAAAAGATGAGAAAGTTTAAGATGCCATATAGAGCTGAGTAACAGCCACTTTAGCAGCACATTCTTTGCAACTCTGATTAATGGTGGGGATACCTGAGATGCTGTATTTCAGCATCTTCCTCTATTAAGAGTGGCCCACTTAGTATCTCTTCAAGCTACTTCCTCAGGCTACTTGCAGAGAGCAGTTCACCAGCAGAACTCAGCTGATGTTTGTACAGTTTCTTTTTGCAACTTCAAGGAGTCTTGCTTTCGTGCGCTCTCTCCAGCGCAGTGGAGTCCTAAACCCAGCCAAGATCTCTAGATGCCACTGTGATACAGATTTATTTTTTAATTAAGGGTTTGACTTAGGAACACAAGAAATAGTATATGCACAAAATCTCACACAGTTAAGAACCCTGGAATGTGTAAACTTCTGCATGTACATCAGTTGCCTGCAAACCTCAACCAATTTATTGAAACAGCTTGTTGTTTGTGACTATTTTTCAAAATATTAGGTATCCAAAATTAAAGTTTACTGTCTGCCACACCCACGCCATAAGGAGTGGAACTGCTTGTTTTCTGATGAATACATTAAAGCACAAAATGGTACAAACTTTACCCCAGCAACAAAACATACTAATCCATGATTATTGTCTCTGCTCACTTTCTGGAATTTTTTCCCTTCTCCATATCCGTACATCTCCCATTTTCCTTCCCACTGGACAGGGTTCCGATTTCTGGATTTTTCCTACTCATATTGTGATAATCTCCATCCCATTTATAACTAATTAACGAACTCTCCTGCATGCTCTCTTAAATTCTACCCTGAAGAAACTACGTCCTTCTTATGTTGTAACAGCATTGCCATCATGCAGTAAAAATGAAATGGCCATTGTCCTGAATGGTGTAGAAACACATAAAACCATTACTGGATGAAGACCTACAAGTCTTTATACCCATCTGCCCAGGACCAGAAAGATTCCCTGGAGGACAATAAATGACATAGCTGATGTCAGAGATGAGTCCCCTTCTTCTCCAGCAGTGAGGACTTAGTTTAAGTTCCTGAGGACTTTAAGTTCCTGAAGGTGGAGAGTTGACAGCTTCTAAACTCAACTGTATCTACTCATTTAAGAGACTACATAAAACACAGGATTGATTCTGCCCTGCATTTGCTCTTCCTGACCATTATTAGTTAATCAGTTCTTCATAGGCATGAGTTTTTCAGGTGACCAGTCCCTGTCCCGAAACTCCCTTTTTGCTCCCAATTCTAATTGAGGATTTGATGTTCATTATAACTTGCACCAACTGTTAAGGGGATAAGGCATGTAATTACCAAAATCTTACCTGTAGAGGCCTAACCAGTCACCCTTAAGTACACAGGTAAGTTGGGGACCAGCATGCTCAAGGGTCTTCATGAAATCTTCCTGACGGAAAGGACGAATCTGTGGAGGATTCTGCACAACAGAAAGACCATACTACATGGCACCCAGAAGAAACTGGGGGAAAATGAGATCTCTGTTTACAATGGAAGAGGCTGCATAAGGCAGACTCAATAACTACGAGAACAAAAAATTCATGAACATCTTAACCAGCCTTGCTAGTAAAATTCAAATTAGATTCACAATAGCTGAGCATACTGCAAAACAGGAAGCATCTGTCCCAATGTTTGTTTCAACTTCTTTTTTTTTTTTTTTTTTTTTTAAAAGGAGTAATAACCCTCTTCCTTCAACGAGGGAAGTTCACACAGCATATCAGTATGCAATCAGCATATGGCATAACTATTCCCAATCCCCGCAGCCAAAGGAAAGCAGAAGTGATTGGAAAATCAAACATACCTTCCACGGAGTAATGGCCCTCTGCAGAGGCATCAGACTTGCAATATAATGCTCCTAAGAAGAAATTAAAGGCGGGGGGGAAAGTTAAAACAATCGAGGAGCCTCTTGCATGGTCACCAAGTGTGATGGTCTTCTCCAAAGCATCACAGCCCACTCAACAGCCTCCTACTCTCTCTCTGGTTTTTTTCTTCATAGTTGCATTTTACATGAGCCTAAGTGTTCCAGCTTGTTTCCCACCAGGGGCTGGGTCACAAAACTATGCTGCAGAATCCTAAGCATGCCACGTGAGAAAAGGTCAGGTGGGAAGAAGTTGGCAGGAGGGACTAGAATCTGAGAAGATGCTCTGTCCTCCCATATACTACCTCCTAAGATGATGTAGAAAAGAAAGTGGAGGAGCCAAACTTGGCCAACTGGATGGTCACCAAAAAAGCACTAGTAGCTTTCTAGTGGGACTAGACAGGGAAGGCCCTGAAAGAAAGCATTCGCTAAAATCTGCCTTAGGGTGGTGATCACCACGTGGACAGGCCTCTTAAGCTCTACAGCAAAGCTTCCCAAAGCCAGAAGGGAGGGCTTCACACTGGCAATGGGTTTGATTCCAGCGTTAGAGCAGAAGAGGAATGTTTTGGGCTCCTGTCCCTTCCCTATATATCTGCTTTGACTACCTGTTGAGAAGAGCAAAAAGTCGGCATTAGAATCGAATAGCACGGAACACCTATTCCTACACTGCAGGAAACAATGTTCTGTCTTTACACACAGCATGCTGAATATCCAACCTGCAGACTTTTATGCTAATTACTGAAATTTGCATTCAAGAGACATTTAGTTCCTTTCCACGGAGTAAAACATCTCTATAGAGTGCCACATCCTGAATTTATTACAGATGCTCAGCTACGGGTGAATAAAAGAGGGCAAGTGCAAACTTGTCACTCAAGCATCTCCTGTTCACCTCTCCTCACCTTTACACCACTCTGACAAGTCTCTGCTCAACTCACCAGGGGAATAATGAAGCTCTGGGTGAGCTCCAGGAGGTGACGCCTCAAAAGGGCACTTTGGACTTCAGACGGGCGTTTCCGCTGAATCCCCTGCAAGCACAAGCAGCGCATTCACAAAGGCGCTATTCTCTGTTATGCAGACAGATGCAGAATTTGCAAACACCGCAGCTATAAGCAACCAGTCCAGAGCAGTCTGGAAAACTGTACTGCCCAAAATACATATTCTACTCTCTAGTTAAACGTATCACTCACATTTCACTACAGAGAATCTGTTTTTTCAGACTCTTTTTTTGATAACAATTGTTCTCACTTAGGTTATCATTAGTGCCAGCATTTAATCCATAATATCAAGTGAAAAATTTTAAAACTGGCATGATAAACATGTCCAAGTATACCTGACTGGATTATTACACACTGTAAAAAGTCTGTTCCTTTTGGAGAGTTTTGTATGTTTAAACCAAGCTGTTAGCACGGTTTTCCCATAATGACATACAGGATGTAGGATAGAGTGGAAACTGCTTACCTTTAGTAATCTTTTTATCAGGCTTTTGTCTTTGTGAAGAAATGTTTTATAAGAAGTATAGATTCCTAGATTGGAAAAAAAACCAAACTCAAAACCAGAAAAAAACCAGAAGTTAAAAGCAAAACTTTGCCCACGTATCTGGGGAGGCTCTAGATTATATATTATTATAGAGTGCAGGGCTAACAGAATTGAAATTCCTAGCACAAACCCTGGCAGCTCCGTGTGTGTGTATAATTACAAAAATCATAAAAAAAATAATGACAAAAATTATGAAATTGCTCATGCAGCCAGGATTAAAGGACACTGAACTAGCTCAAGGACCTTCTTATGCTAAGCTTATGGTGAGATAACTTACTGGAGTCAGCTTATGGCTAGGCCTGAGCTGAACAGTTAGTGAAGTGACAGATAGCTTTATCTAGATAAGCAAGTTCCTTTGATTTCCATCGCATCTAAAAAGCAGGCATGATATATAGAATAAAATCAAGAAAATCAGAAGTTCTTCCGACACTAAAATGATTTGTTCAATTGGCTTTTTCAATCTCAGAACAAAGATGTACAGTTTTTCTGTATGAGATGGGGGATGCCACTACAGAGGACTGTGTAGCACATTGAGTGTGAAAAGATGGTAACACCAAAATGCCTGTTTGTTGAGATACAAAGAATAACGTATGCAATGTTCACATGCCTGCAAAGCCTGTAAAATCCCCCACGTGGAGGGGAAATAGAATTAAATGATGTCTGACAAAAGGACTTACCTGGTTTTGTGTCCAGAGTTTTTAGTTTAGCTAGCTTCTTCACCTTAACTTGCTTGGGCAGGTCTCCTGTCGAAAGACATCAAATGACTAGCTCAGGCTCTAAAGCTACCCTCACAGCCACAGCATGCACATGAGAGACTTCGCACTCGAGAACATCCAGTCCTACACTTGTACGTCTTAAAACACATCCTCCCTTAACTCCACCCTCACATAAGCCTTCTCATCTGCTAACTTTCGTGCCAAAATTTTGGAACCGGAACGTGTTAAGGAGGCATTACAAAAAACCCCACTCCTCAACCTAGAGGTTTTCTTGGCTTCATAGGTAATAATCAAAGTCTCTCTCTCCACCTCTCTGTTCTTCTCTATGCAGTTTTCTCTTTCCTGCCCAAGAAGGACTTCTCCTTTTCTTAATGCTTCAGAAAAAAAAACACAGCAAGTTATCCTCTCAACGATTTGTCTTCACCATTGTTTGCGCTCATCCTGCACATCAACTGAGTCAGTGTCTAGACTTCCTTTGGTTTCTCAGCTCTCACAGGAATGAAGACGTGTAAAATGATGGCTAGCACTCCAACTGTCAGCTCACTACTAGCCTCTAACAAGGTCTACCAGCACAACAGGACTTTGGTTCCATCCTTACCTGACATTCTGAGCTCCCCAACCCGAAGAATGTGTGGCCAGTGCTGGAGAGTTTTGATAAAAAAAGGGTTTGTGACTCCCACAACAATGTTTGGCCTAGAAAGAAGGGAAAAAAAAGCAGAACAATGCTAACCTCAGGGTTTCCTTCACACAGACAGTGGCAAGTGGGTAGCAAGGCTCTACTGGCTACTTACGGCGCTTGTGTCCTGGTGGTGTACTCTTTAAATTCACTGTCATGGATAGTAAAATAGGGGCGGTAGTCACAACAGTACCTCAGAGGAGCAAGGCAGCTGTAACAATAGACAGAATAGTTGCCGTATAAACTTCACAGGAGAAGAATGTGTGTTTATATCAGGTTTATGTCCTAGAGCAGTGTTTTATCCTGCCAGAGGTAACACTTTGGAGGAGTTCCGGGCTTTTTTTTTTTTGCTAAAGCTGGGTAGACAAAGTTCCCCAGGGCTACGAACCATCAGGTCTCCCAACATGGGAGATTCACTTTTACTTTTCTCTACCATTGGTGGAATATGAGCAAGACTCTCTTGCTATGCTATTTGCCTTACATGCTTTCATAGGCAAACTAAATCTAAAACAATTGACTCGGCAGAAGCGTGGATCTGAAAGAGAAAAACTGCCAGAATTTATTATTATAGGTACCTGTATCTCCGAATTTTAAGGCATTACCTGGTAAGTGCCAGAACCATTTCTGAAGAAACTGTAGGGGATGGTGCCATTACAACAATTGGCTCTCCTAGTAACATCAGCTCCCATAACATCTGGATATGAATTAGCACTGGCTGGAAACACCTGTTAGTGAAAGGAAGAATGAGGTTAGGAATGCAGTTCAGGAAAGACCAGACACAGTTATTGCATATAAGCCTATCCAGATGTGCTTCTATATGGGAATTTGAAATCTAGGATTGATTTTTAGTATCCCACAACAGAATGCCATGTGTCTTTATATATGCTGTTGCTCAACCATTTTATACATGTTTAAAGGAAATGCTTTCAACACCTGCTGATCACATTGCTCTCAGTATGTCTCTTTATCTAAGCAAAGTAAAATCCATGTGGATTACAGCAGATGTATCTCTATTAGAATAGTACCTATAATGCTGAAAAGTTTGGTTCAGACACAATGTGTATGCTTCAGAGCTTAAGCTGATCACCAGCTGAGGTCATGAAAAGAAACGCTCCTCTAACCAGGGTACGGGGGGTTGTGTTAAGGGCAGTGCACACAGGCTTAAACACTGCACAAGCTCCGCAAGCCCAGTATTCTAAATGACATTCTGCAAAGCAGTAATTTTTGATTCCTCATTTGACATCTCCACTATAATTATGATTTATAGGATACTCTGAGCCGGGAGAGGGGAAAGCAGACGGAGAGGAGAGGGTTGCAGGGATGGTGGCTCTCACCTGAAAAGATCCAGTTCATGAATACTGGGGAGAACCAGTGGGGCTGGTAACAGGTTCTAAATGAGGAAGGAAAAAAAACCCAAACAAACCCAAAACTGTTAGTAAATGGAAGCATCCTGACGGAAATGCCATCTAAACTGACCACATCAATCATAAAGTAGCTCCTTCTACAATAAGCATAAAAAGAAGAGAACAAGGTTAATGATGGGAGGTATGAGGCAGGAACAGATCTGGATTGAGCGGTCAAGGTCCAAATGAATTTCCTTTGCTAGAAGATAGCCAAGAATCCCTTCTTTTCAAGATGTGAAGGACTTCCTCTGTCTGCTCCTTTATTTTCTAGAGTTTTCTCTGGTGCGAGGCAGAGCTTAAGATACAGATAGAGACAATAAGGGTTGGTAATATGGGTATCAAAAGTTGTGAAATATGACAACATTATTCAAAGTAGAGAAAAAGGGAAAAGATCAAATGAACAAGAAGAAAAATCAAAGCTGAATGAAAGCAGTAAAGATGTTCAGGCAGCAAATGCTGCAAAACAACACAGAAGACTAAGGTAGGGTCTCGTGGAGACCTACCTATGCATGAATTCCCAGGAAAAGCAAGGTGAAGAAAAACTGTGAGAACAATGCACATACATAACTTGAAGCACACAAATTCTGGGCAGAGAGTCCTGTTTTGAAAGACACAGGCATGACAGCGTGCAGTTTGAACCAGATGGGTATCTTAAACCACATTAATCCCAAGCCAAAGCGGTTTCAAATAGATAAGACGGAAAGAGTTCCAGTTCTTCTCCACCCTCCTTCCTTCGTAGTCTAGATTCTGCTCATCACTGGCTTGTGTCATGCCACACTTCTTCTCACCTCTTGATTGAACTGCTTCACTGGGCTTGATCCTGGCTTATCCACCCTTGATGGGATTCTCACCTAGATTACAAATAAGAACAGACAGATTATCCAAGGAGATGGAATCAGTTAGCATACACACACACTTTGCTTTCTTCCCTAACAACCATCCGTGTGAGAAAGCTTCCTCAATTATCAATTCTAATTATACAGAGGTTAGGAATAAAGGGAAAGAATCTAGAGTAAACAGCAGTTTTAACATCCAGAAAAAAAGGGAATACATGTTCCACTTCCCAGTTTGCCTCAGTCTGCTGCTGAGTACAGATCATCAGCAACGAGTACCTGAATGACAACTCCCATCACTGGAAGGTTCAGAGTCTGTCCTGGCACAGGAGGTGGCCATTGATCAATCTCATTGCACACTGCAGGGACATAGGTAAAGAAAAAAGTTTAATCTGAAGGTCAATACAGCTAATTCAGCTGGTCCTACCAGTTCTGCCAATTTTATTACCGCTCATTCCTAGTTCATGTGTCCCCCTGGCTAGTTGCAAACAAACACTATATCAAGTAGTTGTGCAAGTAATTGTGCACCTGACTTACGTCTGCACCACTGTTTCCAGTGCAGGCCCAGCAGCACTATACTGTTGATAAATCATGACTAAGTTGAATAGTGCAATAAAGACCTGGACAAAGATGTAGCATTAGCAGTTTTTTCCTCTCTCTGGGAATTCGTTGTATGCAAAACTGACAGCATCCTCTATTAAGGTTGTCAGACATTTCCCATTAATGCATCCTTTACAGCTGTTTATAATTTTGACAAGCCAACCACTTGGATGAAAGTTTTTCCCTGTTGGAATTTGTTCCAGGATGAACTAATTTGGAACATTTCAGCTGTCTTTCAGGAACCTCCTGATAAAACCTCTGAAAGATTTCAATATGCAAACCCTCCCTCCTAGATCTGACTGCTCACCTGCCTCCAGGCATGGCTCCAGCTTGTCAAAGTATTCCGGAGCAATCAGCTGCAGCAATGACTGGAACAAATTCACATATGGAAGGCGTGACACCAGCACCAAAGACTGAAAAAAGGTACAGTTAGGAGTCAGAGACCTCCTGACATCACCATTTCTAGCACTGCATATACTTATACTGCTTACTAGAGGGCTACACTTAAAAATCAACATCAAAAACATGAAAGAGCTCAAAAGCAGCACTTTTACTGGTGGAATTCTTGCTAGCTACCTAGCTGTTGAACCCTCAGGCTTTGGGAGACCCTGGGTATCCACACAGGCAAGGAGTTTTTTGTTTAATGAATAAGCACAGCTGGCAGCTTCTACCAGGGAGCCACCGCAACTAAGAGGGCTGAGTTTGTGACCTAGCAAAAGATCATCTGGAGGAAAAACAAAAATAAATTGCCAATAGGTTCAAAGCTACCAAAACAACCATTTCAGATGGAGAAGTGCAAAGGAGCAGACCACTGAAACTGAAATTAGGTAGATAAACAAAATAAAGGAATTCTGGGGAAGAAGAAACGAAGTAACTTGAAATAATGCTGATTTGCCTCCAGCAATGCCTTTTTTTGTTGTTGTTTTGGCTTCTTTCTAATGCTTCTTTATGAAATGTATCACTATTTTTTACAACTTTTCCAACTCAGTCCCACTGGGGGTTTTCATTACTATGCTGATTATTCTCTTCCTCTAATCGTTACTGGATACATTACTTAGGATCCAGTAAAAATTTCTGCAATAGTCATTTAAACACCGCCTTTCCAACCCAAAACTTTGAAATAAAAAAAACCATCCAAGCGTGACAATATACTTCACTGAGGAATTCAATGTGCCCACTACTTTTGTAAGTCTATCAAAGAGCAAGCACACTAGCCTGCTAT